TAATATAATATTGGAACAAGACATTGGAGTTATATCATGACCTTTGGATTTCCTTTTTGCTCAATTTGGCCTATTTTAATTATAATGTTTTATATGCTTATTTTATATTTTTTGCTCAATTCATCTATTTTTGTAATAGTAACGAACATTATACATGTTTTTTTTTTTTTATTTGTGCTTTTGGAATACTTATGAAATGTTTTTATCCTATATGACAGTTATAATAAGACATTGTGGAAATAGCTCCAACACTCGAGGTGATATGTAGCAAGATTGATGAAAAGTGATAATGTATCGGGTCATTTTTAGCACTAATAATAGATGATCCACCTACGAAGTCATCTTTAGCATCAATGATAGATGATCCACTTACGGATCATTAAGTCAATCCATCATTCGTTGACAAACCAATTATTGGGGGTCAACAAATGATATTTTTAATGAAAAAGGGAGGACAATAAAGTAGATAACTAGAGACAAACAAAGGTTTACCAATACCTATAGATCTAGACAAGCAAATGTAGATTACTACGTTAGGAGATAAGTATAAGATATACCTTTTACCATTAATTTTTTTATTTTAATTTATTTTTTAAACAATTCATGTAGTTTAACTAATCTTACTAACAAATGGATATTAGTAGTTATTTTGAGCAATCATTGGTTCATTCAACAATTTCAAGCATAATTAAAGGGAGTTTTAATGGTTCTTGGCCAATATAGGGTAAAGTTCTTACGTTTAGTGAAAATTTTATGTTTGGTAAATTTAATGCGTAGTAATTGGACACTTATTTTGTATATATTATTTATTATTGAATGAAAAGTTTATATTCACGTCAATGACTTATTGTATTCTATTTATATGTTGAAAAATGACAACGGGCTAAGTCAAATGATGCTCTATTTCAATCCACATGGAACAATATTTCCAAAAATTACTTGAAAGACTTATTGTTAGACGAGAAGGAATTAACGATGGAAGAATATGGAGTTGATAACTTCATACACTGCAGATGGATGAAGCGAAGGTGGATTATTGCTTCGATTTGGGATGCTTTTATTAAGAATGTATGAAGCACTCCAAAATGGTAAATCATACCCACCAAAGCAAAAACAAATCATCAAACATAAAAACAAAAAAGTATTGCAAAGCATACTAGTTATATTTCCTGTTCCTAGAAAAAGAATGATCTAATGTTTTTTCATGAATTATTTTTTTATCACATTTCAATTTTATATAAATTTCATTATTACATATTTCATTGAATATGTATTTAAACAAATGCAGTCAACTGAGATACAAAGACAACTCACATTTAAAGAATGGTTCAATCACACTCACATATGCTTAAAAGGACGTGGTAATTTTGTTGATAACAAGTCCAAAGTTGTTATTGTATGTGACTTTGCAATGACTTTGTGAAGGCTTTCAAGTTGCCTTGCTTTATTGAACTACATAATGTATTGTGTGTATTGAGGAGCAATGACTTTGTGAAAGGTGAAAATCATTGCATATTTTGCTTTGTGATTGTTGATGTGTATTGTGCTTGTTGATGAACTAATTTTATAGTAATTCAAAGCATAAAATTTGTAAAAAATTCTTTATTAAACTAGATTTTGTATTGTGCTTATTGCAATGTAATGACTCTATGAAATGTGAAAATTGTTACGATTTTGCTTATTATTTCTTACTATGTGTTATGTTTGTTGATGAACTACTTTTATTGTAATTCAAAGCCTAAAATTTGTAAGAAATTCTTTATTGAACTAGATAGTGCATTGTGTGTATTGTATGTATTTAGATGCAACGACTTTGTGAAAGGTAAAAATTATTGCATATTTTGCTTTATGATTCTTGTTGTTTATTATACTTATTGATGAACTACTTTTATAGTAATTCAAAGCCTAAATTTTGTAGAAAATTCTTTATTGAACTAGGTAATGTTTTATGCGTATTGAGATGTAACTTGTGAAAGGTAAAAACTATTGTGTTTTCAATCATGACTAGTTTTGATTTTTTTTCCTTTTTTAAGTAAATGTTGATGTTATGAATTATTTCAAGTTGTCTTACTTTATTGAACTAGATAACTTATGCTATAGAGGTAAAATGGCATGATAATTTTTTTAAACTTTTTGTAGTAAAACTATGCTGCTACATTATCTCAGAAATATGGTAAAAACTCTTATAATCATTCATATTTCAATCCATAGGCATATACTGAAGATATGCATACTCATGTATGCATATGGTTTTGGATATACAAACATATCTAAGGGGCCACTTACTCTAGTTAGTGTAATGTTACAGTAACATCCAACTCAGTTTATGGTCTGTCATTTATACGCTCTCAACCTTAGTTACAACAACAAAAGGATGAGTTAAGGACTGAACTAAGGGCTGAGTTTAAGTCTTTAATGGATCAAATGATGCAATTGATGAGGTCTAGACAATTTCCTCTAACATAATTAGAAGTACCTTCTACACTTGATGGTGACAATGCATATTCCAGATTAGAACATGCAAGGCAATGACATGTTTTTAAAGAATTGTAATACAATGATTTGGGTTGTTTACAAATATTATATTTAATGGATTTCAACTTTATAATTTGAATTGTTTTAGAATTCCTGTGTATTTGAATTTTATGATGTGAATTTAATTTTATAATATATAGATTTTATCTTTATGCTTTTAATGAATAATAGACAAATAATTGACTTTTAAAAGAATCACACATGTTTTATTTTTAATTTAAAAATTTCTTAAATAATTACTAATGGAATTAATAAAATTACCTATGAAATTTAGATTTTATTGATGAAATCCTCATTTTTACCTACAAAAATCTATCTTTACTGACGGATCACTAACCAATTATCGATGAATTATCTACGAATTACCTATGAGTTACTTATAAAATTATCGATGAATTTTTGACGGATTATCGATAAAATTTTATTCTTTTCAATTAAATTTTATGATTTTATTTAAAAATATCTACTGATAGAATAATTATATTACCAATAAAAAAATACATTATAATTATTGACAAAATTTTAAAATTATTAATAAAATATTATTTTCGACTCGTTTATTATCAACAAAAATTTTTATCGATAAATTCTATTGATAAATATTTTATCGATGAAAATTCATCTTATATCAATGAATTTTTCATCAATTTCACTCTCCTCTCAAGGACAAATCAAAGTACCTACTTTAGAATATATATATATTTACAATAAATGCTGTTTACGAATGCGGTTTCGTTGAAGTTAATGCATGCAGCCAGCAAAGACTTTCAAAGAACGTACTTGTTTTGCCTTTTGCTATACAAGAGCGGCGTGATTTTGACTTTCTTTCCCCAAACCTGCTGTCTTGTTTCGCCTTTCCGTAATTTAGTACTACTACTACTTAATGATTTTCAATGCATTTAATTAAACACATATGCTTAATTCCTCTAACAATAACCTTAATTAATGCATGTTAAACTACTCTCCTTAACCAAACCCTTAAAGCTACCTTTCAAGGATTTATTTTTCTGTTTTTAAAGAAAAAAATGGGGTAATGAAACTTCTCAAAGAGTTTCAAACCAGCACTGAGAACTTAATTACGAGGAGGACGAGCTTATTAATATGCGACATGATGTGATGAGGCAGAGGCGGTGGCGATGCATGTTTTCATAGAGGCGAAAGGCCCATGCATATAGCTTTAATTCAATTCTGGATATATATATATATAGGACCGTAACCCTTAGTATTGCAACATTATGGGACTGTATATGCAACTCGGCTTCTGCATCGTTGGTGTACTTTTTGGCAGGGATAAGGATGGACCAATCCATAACCGTTTGACTTTTGAAGCGCGTGTTTGATCCTCATCCTTCAATTTTATGTCAATTGTTGTCATTTTCATTTTGACTAAATTACATTTCATCCATCTCACATGCTAATACAGTATCTAGATCTTAATTTGCACTTTTGCATGTTCCCCAACAGCCCTGCGATGGAGCCCAACCCAAACCCACTTATAATTTTGGACCAACCCTAGTACCAAATAGATATAAACCAATACACTGCAATTTGGCTCAATGTAATGATATCCCGTCGACAAAAGTACTTGAATAATTCATGCTTACCAATATTAATCTCCTTAATCTTTGACTACGTATAAAATATAATCAATAAATCCATCTCTTCTAACTCAAGTTATTCTACTTGTCTTTTAGTTCTAGTGTTCAATAAAACAATGCTTTCTCTTATTTTATATCACCATATCCCAAGATATATGTATATATAGGTTATACTTAATTGATAAAATTAATTAATATTAGCGTCGCAATAAAGATACCCAAGTTGTAAATATAAAAAGGCTTAATCATTAGCGACCAATTAATTTTATCTATATAAGTTAAGATCCAAAACCTACAAATTTTATGACCCTTGTTATCATATATAGATATAGGCACCATATTATATATCCTCCGTCAATACCCTTTTATATGTCAAGTATTCTATTCCTCGTCATTACCCTTTTATACGTTGTTGTTGAAACAAACTCTTTAATTACATCCCTTGTTTGGAAATAATTGTTATCCTATATCCTAATTCTATTCTAGTTATTCTATTCTAGTTTATAAAATAGGGTCATAAAATAATGACGTTTGCATCATATTTTTCCTTTAACAAGACTATCAAGAGCATTTTAGAAAAGCTTGAATTCTCCTCTTAGCTCTTTTTTTTTTTTTTTGACAAAAAATTTCTTTTTTATAAAATAAAGAAATTAAACGCGTATATACTAGCTAGTAATTATAGGCTATATATATATATAAATATATTCTATATTTTGATAGTATAGGTTATATATATTAAACAGCTAGCCCTTGAAGTTAGCCATGTAAAGAGAATGAAACCTTAGGCAACAAGGTACTCGAAATTATTGGACATGAGCATGGTGCCCAAACACGCAACTCAATGATGCTCGTTGATGTCATACACGGAAAGATCACGAGTAACCACCCAAGCAGTGCATATAGCATAGCTGGCACTCCATTCATATATAATAATTATAATTAAACAAAACCTAACGCTAAATTCAAGCAAGCAAATTCAAAGCAATCAATGCTAATCATTAATTTAAATTTCGTATGGGATACTTAGTTTTCCTTGATTGATGCATGTAATACGCAGTTTTGTCCCTCACGTTTTTTGCCCTTCGCCTGTTAATATGTATAGGGCCTTTGCTTAGCGATCCTTGCTTAAATTAGAGCTGAATTCTGACCTTCCCTCGTGGATAGTTAGACAAGAGATAGAGGGAAGAAACATGGCTTTAAGATGGTTTCTTCATTCAGCATGTCATGTTTTGGGTTACCCAAAGGAACCTAATAACTTGCAGTACTGCAACAATATGGCAAGCAAACAAAATGGAGGACATGGCAGCGGAGTCATTCAGAGCTCAAAGGTCTCAAACTGTGACCAGACGTCCCAGACTACTACAGAAATGCATTTCTCATCGGGGTTCCAGATGCCCATCCACTATCCTCGCTACACAAAAGCAGATTATGAGAAGATGGAGGAGTGGAAAGTGGACATGCTTCTGAGAGAATATGGACTAAGTTTCATGGGCAGCCTTGATGAGAAGAGAGCATATGCAATGGGGGCATTCTTGTGGCCTCATCAATATTGATCGATCTCACTCGTCATGTCTTGATTTGGCACTCGATCGGTGTTTCAGGTTCAGCTCCATCGATATATAATTAATCAAGCTGCAAGATCAGATGCTTGCAGTAATTAATAGCTTTTAGCATTATATCAATATATATTAACATATACATACGTGTGTCTCTTGTTATAAGGCAATGGATGGAGCCAAGGTTATTTAATGGAGTGCGTTGTATTTTAAGAATAATAGAGAGTGAAAGAGAGAGAGCATCCGTAGAATTTATGGTACCTCCACATGTTATCCATATATCTATATCTATATCATATATATATATATATATATGTATGTATATCAGTTCCGGCATCCTGAGTGTTTTTGTTTTTATTTTTTTGTTATTTTTCTGATGAAACAGTGGATCTTCTAGTTGGAGCTGGCGTGTAATGAGACAATCAACTTCCTAATGCTACCTGGGTTCTGTTTTCAGCAAAGTTTTGGTGAAATGAGGCTTTAATTTGTGAGATTCATGATAACACTGATGATTCCTGATTCAAATAAAAAATTAAAAGCGTTGGGAAGAAAACTTAATTAAAATTAATATTTCATGTCAACGGTAAACATCTCATTTCGTTAGGAGCTTGAATTTGAATTCTCAATTTTGAATTTATTGGAATCGTTGGGTTTTTCAAATGTCTATTGAATTTTCAAATTGGCTTTGAATAATTAAGCTTTGAATTGATTTTAAGCCTTGCACATGGTTTTTTGGCATTTAGACTTGGAGCCCGTAGTATAATTTCATTTTTTGGTATTATTACCTAAATAAAAATTACATAAAAATTAAATGAAAAAAACAAATAAAAAAGGAAAGGGAATCAAGGAATTTTGATTTGATACCGAGGATTCGATTCTAGAAATTCAGCAATTAAGCTGGTAATATCAATCAAAAGATTAAATTAGGTAATAAATGAGATTGAATATGTTTGAGATAGATTCAATCTTTATTATTAAATAAAAAATCCCTAAAACTTTTGTAAAAAAAACCTATATAAATCGTGCTTAAATCCACATAAAAAGACATGAAAAAAATAGGTAAAAATTGCTAAAGCGAATTTTAAGTGTCAAGGAATTTTTGGGTTTTTGAGATTTTAATCCTGAAATTTTGATTTTAGAAATTAGTTTTTGGTTTTGGATTCTATTTATGGTTTGAAATTTTTGAGTTGATTTTTAGGAAATCATTTGAATTCTTGGATTGGATAGTTCTTTTTGAATTTTTGGGAAAAATCTAAATATTGGATGAATGTTTGAATTTTCTAGTTGAATTGCCTGGTCAAGATTGAAGTTTTAGTGAAATTTTCAAAAATCAATGATAAAATCTAGTTTTTGACTGCCTTGATTTAAACAGTTAGAAAGAGATGTAAAGAAAAAAAAAAAAAGATTTAGAGAGAGTGGGCATTAGGCGATTTTGAGAAAAAAAAAAAAAGAATTTTGGGTTTTATACGAGGAATGGAATGAGGCAATTTTGGGAAAAAACTTTGACTCGCATGACCTGTGTGACTTGCGCAAACTCACATACTGGATTCGACCTGATTGCAGATATTGGTTTTTCTTTTTTGTTTCATTTATGATTTAATTTTTATTTTCCTTCATTTTTTTGGTTTTATTTTAGAATTTTTTATTCATTATTCTGTTTTTGAATTGTTACAAAAAATAATTTTTTTATTTTTATAAGATTTTTTTATGAATTTTAATTTTATTTCATTTCATTCTAAAAAGAAAAATGTTTTCAAAATATATTTATAAGTCTTCTCAAACTATTGTAAGATTTTTCATGGATTTAAATTTTTTATGAATTTTACCAAAGTATTGGAGAATTTCATAACTCAATCTTTATAAAAATAAAAAAATAAAACAAATATCTTGTTTTAATTCTACCAAATTATTGAAAGATTTGAATCTTAAATAAAAATCACCAAACTATTGAGAGATCTACATCAAAATAAATCTTATCAAACTATTAAAAAATTTTACTAATTATTTTTTTAAATAAAATATATTAATAAATCTGGCGATTAAGCCTTTTTAAAGTGGAACACTATTTAACATGAATACACCTGATATGAGAAAATTATCTTAAATTGCTACCAAACTATTGGAGTATTTTTAAGATCAATTTTCAATAATTAAATTATTTGATAAAATTATAAAAATATTTCAAGGCTTGGATAATTTGAAATCAAATTGATACCATCCTTTAGATGGGCACGTTATAACCTTTTTTAGACGTAATTATCGTAACTTATCGATCTGGAGACTCGATTGTTAAATGTAAAAATTTAAAAATCGTAAAAAACACGAAGAGTTGCCACCAATTTTTTTAAATGGGTGATTGGCCACCAAAAAATTTTATCTTTTTAATAAAACAACAAGTTTGTTAAAAAGATAATTTAGGTCTATGAAAATAGATTAGGTTCGAGAGTCGATTACATGTGAGAAAAGATTAGCACTCCCATAATACTCACAAAATTGATACCAATTAATTATGCACTATTTGTAACTCTAGATAAAAATGGTTTTCTATATGAAATTTAATTATAATTCCCTTTGTTTTTAAGAAATAAAATTAGTTTTAAAATATCTTTATTTAGGAATATTATGAAAATCTTTAAATCAAAAAAATATCTTCAAAGTCTCCGACATAAAGATAATTCAAATATAGTCTTTTCATTTAAGATTTATCATAATATTTATTCCAAAATAATAAAATAACACTCTTTATAAATGATAATCATTGATAACTCTCTAACATCTAGACAGAGTATCAACAATTATATTTCACAGAATGTTATTTTAATTTTATTTGTTGAAAACTAAAAATTTTTAAGAAAAAAACTTTTTATGCAGTAAAAAAATAAATAATTTAATTAATATTAAACATCAACAAACATATATCTATATATGCAAATGAGCACATTAACCTAAAAATGAAACATATACAAGATGATCAAATGTGAATTTAGAAATTAGATTATTAAATATAAAGAGACCACATGATCTCTCTAACATTTAGGTAAAGTTTGAGTATGACTTTTTTATTTAAAATTTTGTCCTATTATTGTTATTATTATTATTATTATTATTATATTTTATATTTGTTATTTTAACAAAACGAATTTATTTTGAGTTGCAGAAATATATGAAAATTCTTAATAAAATAAAATTTTTTAAATAACCAAACATATAGGTAGCATTTGGGAACATATTACTTTATAAAAGGTTTTCATGCTAATTTTTAGAAATTTAAAAAGAGTTTGTGATTTTTGGTAGGTTTGGGTTTAAATCTTAAGAATTTATGAATTTCTCTAAAAATCTCTAACATCTAGGTAAACTTTTGAAGCAAACTCATTTTTATAATTCTTTTGAAAATTAATTAAAAAATTTTCATAAAATTTTTTTTTGCATAAAATATATTATTACTGTTATTATTATTATTATTATTAATAACTAGTGTGCATATAAAATAAAGTGAATCAAAAATAATTTACAAAATAAATTGCATGGAATTAAATTTAACATATAGATTTGAACCACACAAATATCATAATATATAAGATTTAAGCTTAAATTAAACTTAATAACATGAATAAAGAAAAAAAACATGTAGTATATAAAATATAAATGTCCTATAACATTTATTAACCTATAAAGCCTAAGCTATTAAAAAACATAATGATGTAACCTTGAAATCATGTCATTTTTAAGCTTTCTTTACCAAGTAGGAAAAAAGTATGAAAGCTTTAAGCTTTCTTCATGATGGGAACCTTTTTTTATTATTATTAAGCTTAAATTGAACTTAAAAAAATGAAAGAGATTAATTTATTAATCGATAAAGCCTAGGCTATGAAACATAAATGATGGAACCTTGCAATCAAGTTTTGTTTTGAGTTTTCTCTTCCCTTTGCATATAGCCTAAAGCAAAATATGAGAGGTGGGGGCCTTGGAATTGTAGGCTAGTTTAAAAGTTTTTCATAAGCCATTATGTAAGAGAGGGAATAAGCATGAAAGCTTTGTGGGCAGTGAAGTTTCAAAGCTCCATGGACAATAAAGCTAGTAGACAACAACTTAGACCAATAAAAATCTAACAAACCTAAATATGGGAAAGCTTTAAACTTTACGGCAGTTGCTTTCTTCTTTTTTTTTAGCTTTCTTGTTGTTTTAAACAGTTTCTCCCTTTGGTTTCCTCTCTTCCTAAACTCCAAAAACCAGCCCCCCCTTTTTTTTCTTTTAACCTCCCTTTTTCTTGTAAAGAAGAAAGGAACTAAAATATTTTTGAAAATTTGAATATAGGCCTTTGGATCAAATCTTTTCAAAAGGCTAAAGTTTTTTTTTTTTTTAAGGAGCAAACTTTAACCATTGGATTAAGATTCATTATGAGATCTATCGATCCACATTATTCATTGCAAATATTGAAAATTTATAGCCCCTAAACCAAATGAAAAGACCATTGTACCATTGGTAAAAAGTTTTCGATATTTAAGTCATTTTCTTATAAATCAATGTTCTCATGCTCATTTTTTGGAATTTAAACCATAAAAAATCATTATTTATTATAAAATTGAGATTTAAAAATTTTCGTGAAAATCTTAGTCAAGAAGGCCAAATTATGAAAATACTCTTATGGGGTATTTCGATAATTTTATACCTTTCGGGGTACTGCTATGATTTCAAAAGCTCTAAAAATCATGAAATATTATGAAATTGAGATCTAAAAAGTTTCATAAAGATCTGAGCTCGAGAAAGTCAAAATACATAAATACCCCTAAAAGATATTCTAGTGAGTTCACATCTTTCATGGTACTACTGTGATTTCAAATATATCAAAAATCATGAAATATTATAAAATTGATATATGAAAAGTTTCATGAAAATCTAACCTTAGAAAGGCCAGATTACGAAATACCCTTAAAGGATATTTTGGTGATGCCACACGTTCTGGGATACGGCTGTGATTTTCAATACATAAAAAATCA